TCAGACGCGCCCCAGCAGAAGGAAGGCCGGAGTCTGCCCTTCCCTATTCAGGACCATGTGGCGGTTGTGCGGGGCAGCCCTCCCTCGGGGGGCCACGGGGAGGAGTGGGCCGGACCAAGGGAGGCCTGTAAAGTGACGCATGCACAGCAGCTGCACACGGGCCCTCGCTGCCGCTGGGAGGCACATGTACACGCACGTGGGCTATGTACATGGACACGCGTGTCTGCCAGCTAGACAGCGTTTCCCCACGGCACATGCCGGCCCTGACCCGGACGGGGGAGAAGGGCGCCCTCTCGCCGGCCAGCCAGGGTCTGGTAAGATAAACTCCGTTTCCACTTCTGTGCTCAGAGGGTGGAGACAGTCCACGGAGAGGACTCCCTCCACGAGGCGGCCTGGCTGGGAGTGGCGGCGGGCTGCCTGGAGGAGGGGACGGCCTGGTGGCGCACAGCGTTGGCTCAGATGCCTGCAGAGGGCATGTCTGCTTCTTTAAAAACAATTTAAAAAAATCCCAATTCACCGAAGCCCTTTAAAATAACAGAGTCCCTCCCCCATTTTTCAGTAGAAAAGGTTATTTTAAATAACAGTTCAGTCTTTTTTTCTTTTTTAAATGAAGCCAACTCAGGAAAAGGAGCCTCCTTGGTTTCTAACTGCTGTTGGCTGGACAGGCACCGTCAGGGCCACGTCTGTCACCATGCCAGGTGTGTGTTAGGGCGTGCCACTGGTTTCCACGGCAGTCCCCGAGATCACTCAGTGGTGTAAACAACATGCTTCGATGTAAGTCCAGTGACAAAAATGCAGCAGCAAACTCACCCTTGTACACAGTGGTCTGGTAAACACCGAGCCACAGAGCCCCAAGAATGGCCATGAGGTTAATCCCTGTAAGATGGCCCCGCTGGTAAGAGCAACGCCCCTGCCCGGCACCCCTGGGTCAGAGAAAGGCCCACCGTGCCGGGAAGCAGCCGTGGCCCCACACCGTCGCGTCTGTGGGCAGTAGAGGCCGGCGCTGTGACCCTGAGGAGCCTGCAAGGGCGGGAGTCAGTGGGCAGCCGTGCGCACCGCGTCCGAGGGCTCGTACGGGAGTCTTACCAGAGGCCCTCCTCGCCCTCCTGCACCACCTCCACCACGTCCCCGCTCCGCACGAGCAGGGCATCGGGGCCGCCCTTCTCCTCGTCTAGCAGCACCGTGTATTTGCCTGGAACCTGGTGGGCGGGGACACAGGGCGAGGGCAGAGGCCCCGGCTGGTCAGCACCGGCGACCAGGGCAGTGGCACCCGCAGGGGCCCGCGGCCCCC